ACCATGGCTGAGCCTTGTTGTATTTAGTCACATTCAGTGTGAGCCCTATCTTGGAAGATAAGGCATAGGATTCAGTTTATCTTAAGTCATCTGTTTAGGTAGAAATGAACATTTTTTTTCCCCTAGTTTTACATCCACTGGTCTCACATATTTTCTGAAATCTGCAGTTAGGTAGCAATTTCAGRAAAGAAAAAAAATGGTTTGAATCTCAGAACAAAGCAAACAAAAGGGAAAAAAMCTCAAGTTTAAAAGGCACAGAGCAAACTTGCCTCAGTATCATGTGGAAGGAAGAGCCTTTTCCGAACACTAGAGCCCAGCAAAGGCCCAACAGCGCAGTCAGGAGCAGGTGAGGGTGGCGGTGGTGATGGCGATGGGGATGACATCCTGCTCTACCGCTGTCGAGGTTTGTACATGTTAGCACGTAGTGTTGCTGCAGGAACAAGCAACTGCTACAACTGCTACCCCAGGTCAGTCTCACCGGGAAACACACTGCAATGAAGCAAGAAAACCCCAACCTTGCAGAAGCCTTATCTGAAGCCAAGGGAGCCGCAGTCCCGTACCGCACGCGTGGCTGTGAGGCACTTTGCGCTGGAGCTGCACAGGGACCCACAAAGCCCACCCGTTTGTGCCACACAAATGCAGCTGCCCCGCGCGCCGGCAGCGAGCGCATGCGACCTCATGGGGACTGCGGTGCCCGCAGCGCGACCTCCCCGGTGCCACCTCCCCGAGGGGCCGCGCAGGCACCCTGCTCGTACCCGCCACGAGGCAGGAGCCTTCAGGCCCCGCAACGGAGCCGGACCCCTCAGGGCCCCCGCGCAGGCCRCGCCGCCGCCCTCACCGCGCAGGCGCCAGCGGCGGCCGCTGCCCGGGCAACCAGCGCCATGCAGGCCGCGCCGCGCGTGGCGGGCGGGAAGCGGCTCTGCCCTCCCTTCCTGCTCGGGGTCCCGGCACCTTGTGCACAACCCCAACTTGTCCAAATAAACCTGTTCAAACGAGACAGAAAGAGGCAGCCCTTGAGTCACCTCAGGTGACAAGGCAGTAGCGATGCTTCGTAGAGCATCCAAGGTGCTGCAGTCGGTGTCTGGCGAGACAGGTGGCATTCAGACGAGTGTGATATAAACTTGTTCATATTTATGGCTTTATGTGATCACAAGAAATGATAATCTGGACATGTGATTTGTCTGAGAAAAGTTAAGACAGGCTGAATTCTTTATTTTTAATAATATGGCAAGTAAACATCAGCCTAAGTGGCCACTTAAGCCTTCCAAAACTTGGGAGAAATAATCAAAATTAATATAAAACACATTTTTGATACCGCCTGTAACCATTCCAGAGTGGCTGTAATTTCTTCCCTTGCTGGTAATGGAAGTTTTGAGCATGGAACAATTACTCCTTTTATGTGATTTTAAATGATGCTATCTAGCCTTGTGTGCACTGCTCTCCATATCAACACAGATACAATTCCAAATGTCTATCAAATTCAGTTTTTCTAAGAGTCTATTCTTTAGCTACATTTTTCAGTAAGTCATGCCAGATGACTCAGTTAAAATTTAGCAATTGCTAGATTTTCTTTTCTTTTTAGGACTTCCAGAATGCAAACACATTTACGAGGCCACCACGACTGTTTTATGGCACAATATCTGATTTATTGCAGTCCATGCTGTTCAGTGCCACTTAAAACATGTGTAGCTTCCAAGAAACMCACTATTCTGCACAACAATAAAATAATTTCTGTGTGGTGAGTCTTCAGCGATGGGCAGATGAGGCTGTGGAGGAGGACRGCACAGCAGCCAGGACCGTGCAGATAACTAGGGGTGACAGGCAGCCCAGGGCCAGACCCAGTGTGCAGCGAGGTTTTGTGCCCTAGGAGTTAACAACATGACCCAAACGCAGATGTTTCTGCACGTCTGTGTTGCTGGATGGAGAGCACACAGCCACCAGACAAGCTGGCAAAGTTGAGCACTGCTATGGAGATTGTAGTGCTCTTGCCCCAAGTGCATAGCACCAGTATGATTATTAAACTTTGCTCTTGATCATTATCCAGGTTTGAATCTTCGTGTTCCAGCTTCGATAGTCATTGACCTTTATCAACAGGCACTGGAAACTCTTATGTCGAGCACGCTTAGGCCTTGGGAAGCAGAAGGTTTGGCCATCTTCAGGGACATTAGATGGAAGCACAATCCTACACACCTAGACCAGACTGTGCTAGGTCAGCAGAGATAAGATCTGCATTCCTTCAAGCAGATTTATTTCAAAATAAAGCAATAAATGTTTTCAGTCAACTAGATGTGAGAGGATTATTTATCTAATAAAACAACCACTATCTGTTGGCTAGTTAGCATGTTGTCTTCATCGAAATCTAGCATGTCGTGCGGACTTCGGAGCAGGCTTGTTAAAATACATGAGAGGGAATGGGGGAGAGCGGAGTGAATCTAGCGCTGAGTGCACTGCATGTTGCAGAGGCAGTGCTGCATTCAGGAGCTCAGACATGAGGGGAAAACTACAAACTTTTGTCCTCAAAGTTGCATTTAAATGTCTCTGTTGCACAAGCTACATATTGAAAAAAAACCACAGGAGATGTAACATTGCAGAAGCTGACTATTGCTTAATAAACTCAATAGTTAAGAGGTGCTGGAGAGAGGGGCTTCTTTAAATCTTGCAGAAAAAGCTTATCTGAGCTTTAAAGGTGTAACAGAGCTTTTCAGTCCCAGCTCAGAAATTGAAGATGCCAAAGCCTTCTTTGTTCATTGTGTAATCTTGGCAATAGTGCCTTATTGAGAGAAGTCTCCATTTTCACTTCCCAGCCATGGAACTGGCTGCTTTTTAACAGCATATAATGCAGTGCTCACAATATTGTGCAGGTACTTTTGAAGGCACAATATCTTTCAGAAAAGGAGCTAGCAACCTTTAAAATAAATACAGGTTTCCTGCTAATAGTACTGAAATGGAAAGATGACCAAGAAATGAAAAAAAAAACCAACCTGTTTTATCCAGGAGATCATAAGTTTACTACAAGGAGAAATGTTCTTTTAGTTCCCTGGTCTCCTCCCTAGATTAATTAGTACCCTCATTCTCTGGGCTTGCATATCATTTGCAATAGCTCATTACGTAATACTCAGTGTTTCGTGACGTGTCTACAAGGAGGACAGTGATTTCGGATAAACACTGTAACAGTTCCCGAGTCCAAAGCTCCTACGTGTGGGACTACACTTTGGTAATGAACAGCAGTCAAGTAACCTGTTCATCAAGTGACCTGCCTGCACAAATGTTTTGTGATTCAAACTGAAGCATTTCTTAGTGTTCCTGTGACGAAAGGCAAYACAAATCACAGTTACCCTGGTGTATAATTCGCTCAACTGCACCACCATCAGGTCGAATCCTTTTAATTTTTCATAACTTGATGCTACCTTGTTTATAAAACATGACTTTATGCACCGTATTTTGCAATATTTGCCAGAATACCTTTCTCTCAGTGAGCTCTCAGAGCTAGATGTCCAGGAGGCAGAAAGGTGGCAACGTTTCTCCCCGCTCTCCTGTAAAAGTTGCCCTGGCCTCCCCGCCACCAGCYGGCTGCATGCGGGGGTCCCATGTGGCACTGGGACCCATGTGGTCCCAGCAGAGCACTGGGATCACAGGTCTCCCAAGCATCATTGATCTAGGTGCACTGCATTTGGAGGACACCAATTCAGTGTTGGTTCCACTCTGCTTGAACAAAACGTGCTAGGGAACATCTCACCACAGACACAGCAGTTCTTCCTTTACTGTAAGTACTCACCTAGGTAATTTAGGGTTTCCAGTCCTCTTGCTCACTATAAAACCAGCTGGATTAGTGCCACTCCTCCTCTCCTTGAGTCATTTCTAGCTCCTTGGACTCCAGCTTTCAAGATTGTGGAGATATACGGAAAAGTGATGTCAGATGACTCAGCCATGCCCAATATTTAATTGTAGGACACTTTAGATCTTCAAAGGGGACAAAAATTTCTTTAATTTCTTTTAAGGACTAAGCTGTACTTAAATCCACTTCTTTGTGTAGACTTTCTCTTGTGCAGCAAGCTGGGCTCTGAATTCTGTTCAGTCTCCAAAGCCCAGGTATCAACTGGAAAATTGCTCTTCCCAGTTCCTAAATGGCTACAGCTCTTCTCCTGGAAGTGCACAGTGTCCGGTGAGCASGGCAAGGTTCCAGAACAAGGACAAGTACCAATGGATGCTGCCCAAGGTTGGACACTGGTGAGAAACCCTACAGTAATGAACATGAGGACACCTTGCRGAGTGCCATTCCCCAGGCAAAAGAACAGGAATAATGGGAAGAGCACTGTATGCTCAAGGTGCAGCATATATAGTTTATGTTATTATTCCTTTTCAGGAGAAAAGTGTACCCCCAAGTATGTAACTTCWATTTTAAAGAAACTCATGGAAGAGTTTCTTTATCTGACCAAAGTGCCCTTCTTGGTGAYAGATTGCACAGACAGGCAGGAATTGTGGCAGTGCTGCTGCCCGGGAAATCCTGCTCTGCAGCGAGTAGAGCTGGTGGTCCCCAGCCCTGCTGGTGCCTGCAATGATGCTGGGGCTGGCAGCTCCCCAGTGTCATGGGGGGGGGAGCGGGAAGCTGCATGGAAGTGAGTGGTGAGGCCAGCTGTAGCCCTGCGTGGAGGCCGCAATGAACACAAGGAGCCAAGGCCAAGCCTTCTGTGTGGGGTGGCAGCGAGATGCTCTGCTGGGCTGCTCAGGGAAGCCTGCTCTTGGCTTTATGAGACCTCTGCTCAGTTCCTGATAGCCGCGGATGCTGTGGCAGTGCCGGGGCACCCACAGCACGAGCAGCAGTCCCCACTGCCCAAACCTGCTGCTACCCGTCGGTGCGGTGCCCCGCTCGGCCCCAGGTGCCGCTGTGGAGGCCGGGCCAGGGCTCGCTGCCAGGGGGGCCGCGGCGGGGCAGAGGGAGCCGCCCCGCGTGGCTGTGTGGGCAGCACCAGGCACGGCGGGACGGCCGGCGCGGGGGCACCATGTCCCGTGGCGCTGCGGCGGGGGTCGCGCTGCTGGCGCTGCTGGCGGCCGCGGCAGAGGCGGCTGTGGTGCTGCGCGGCGGCGGCTACAAGGGGCTGGTGGCCGCCGTGCACCCCCGCGTGGGCGAGGACGCGGAGCTGCTCACCAGGCTGCAGGTAGGGCCGCGGCGGGGGGCGGCCGGGCGCTGCTCTGGCCGCCAGTGACTGGTTTTATCGATCCGCGGAGCGAGTGCCGTAAATGCTCAACGCCCAAAAGCGAGGAGAAAGATTAACGAGAGGCTTCCTGAAAGGCGAAATCATTACACTGCCGTTATCGGGTCACTTGGTACATTCTCTATGAAATTTACCGGCAAGTGCCCTAATAAAACACAGCTCACTAAGCAAACATGCCATGCACGCAAGTGACCTGCTCCTTTCCTTGCCCGCATACCAGGAGATGATCACGGAAGCTTCTTTCCATCTCTTCAACGCCACGAGAGGCAGAGCCCATTTCAGGAGCGTGAAGATCCTGATTCCCCCAACGTGGACTGAGAAGGGTTACRAGGCACCAAAGCACGAGTCCTATGACACGGTAAAGCTCAAAGCGTGTCCTAAGGAAGGGAACGTGATCTGGGCTCTTACACACATTTATTAGTGTAGCCAAATGTACCTGAGATTTTAAAAAGTGACATAAAAAATGACCATGTGAAAATGTCCCTAAAAAAAGGCAAAATTGTGTTCCATGAGCAAGGAATAAACATGCAAGTAATGAGCGTCTGCAAACACAAAAATTTCCTTCTAGTCTGCTCTACCTCAGTAGCAACCCCCTCTGTTCTAACTACAGAAAATTTCATTCTAGTCTGTTCTACCTCAGTAGCAGCCCCCTCTGTTCTGAACTATAGAAAATTATCCTGTATACTGAGGGTTGTGTGCTAATGATGTTTGTCAATAAAATCATGGGGCCATGCTCTAGGTTAAGAATTAGGTTAAGAACAAGAGCGTGCTGGGCTGTAAGAGCATCAGGTTAAACATAGATAAGGGCCTTGTCAGCAGAAATCTGGTGACTGGCAGACATTCTTGTTGATATTTGGTTTTATTTTTCCACTTGGTTTCTTATTTATTACACATCAGAAATCTTTTCTTTCAAGCTCCAGTGTTTTTCTTCCTGATGCTTTCTTAACCTGTCATCCATTTAATAACTCTTGGCTCACAATGTGCTGAGGACAGCAGTAATACTAGTCTAGGTGGAGTTTCAAAGCCTCGTTAGGGAGGACAGGCAAGAAATGGAAAGAAACTAGAGCAGCAAAGACAGCTCATTGCTACAGGCATAATAGAAGTAGAGGCTATTTCGTAATGGTTGTTTTACCTATTAGTTAAAAACTTTATGTAGCTGAAATGCAGGAAATAAGAAGAGGAGTAATATACATCTTTTATCTACTTGCAAAGGCACTGGTACTTTCTGACCAGCCCCATAAGCAGCATATTTGTAGCAGACATTCTAAAAATATTCTATTGACAGACTGTGTAATGATATCAACAATAACTTACAAAAAGGTTTTAGTCATCAGAAAAAATAAAGCCTCTTTTCCCCTGAAAGGCACTTAGAAATGAGGATGGTTCCTCAGATGGCCACCTGAGATCCCTGAGCAAAGCTTGCTTTGCTTAAACTTTGTWCCAGCATAGTCCTCCAACATCAGCCATGAGAAAACAACAGAAAAAGAATGAGCCTAATATGCCAAGATCCTTAATGGAAGTGAAAGTGCAGCATTCTCCCACTTCAAGGCTTCATTACGCTGCGGGGAAATGGACCTGCAGTCATTCTGCAGAAGTTAGGAGCTTGGCCACGGGTTAGGCTGTCTTACATGGGACAGTGCGCATGACCCACAAAATATTTCAGCCCTTAATCAAGTTACTGTTGTGTATTTTTAGGCAGATGTCATTGTGGCACCTCCTTACTGGAAACATGGAGATGACCCATACACCCTGCAACCTGGAGCATGTGGACAGACAGGAAAATACATCCATTTCACACCTAACTTCCTAGCAAATGATAATTTGATGGATATCTATGGCTCACGAGGTAAATATTCATTATTTTCTTCTGCTTTCTCTTCAGTTGTATATAGCAAAATACTGAGGAATACTGAAAAGTGCATTGTTTGGCCCTTTCCTGTACATTTTCTGTACACTTCTCTGTTGAGTGCTGTGCAAAGCCTTTGTTAAATAAAGATAACCTTTTGTTCCTAAGCAAGGAAGCACTGGTTCATTGTGGCTAATTCCACCACCAAATTTTAAATATTTAATTACAATTTGGCGTGTGGTTCACTCTTACAAAAGTTTGTATTAAAAAGAATCAGCATTTCATTATAATCTTCTATGGACCGAATTGAAGCTCAAACACATTATGAAAATAGAAGCCAATATTAAAACACATAAAAGCTAAGACTTTCAAATGTTGGTATTTAAAGTTAGTCACACATAGCTTCAAGAACTAATTACTTGATTCTATAAAGGGCTAATGGCTGCGTGGCAGTCTGCTGTTTAACCTTGCTGGTTGCTTGGGCATGCAGTGACATAAGCAATGACCACTGCTGCTGTGTATTTGCAATTCCCTCCTCCCACAGGCCGACTCTTTGTCCACGAGTGGGCCCACCTTCGCTGGGGGGTCTTTGATGAGTATGACAGCGAGAGACCTTTTTATGTAACTGCGCGGAACCAGGTTAAGGTTACAAGGTAATTCAGCATTTTATTCCTTCCCAGTGCCCATTTCGGTGGACTTTCACAAACCTGGTTTGTATAAACTCTTCATGTATTCCTCTTTTTCCTTTAGTCCTTACTTGATTCGTCATGAAAAACCCTCCCTGCTTTATGAATGGTTCCTGTGATTCTCTGCACACCCATTTCTGCACATTTGTCTCATTGATGGCTCAGCAGCGATGGTGAAATGCTCCTTGCCCCTGCATTGCCTCCGTTTCTCACCTTGMCACTCCCAGCTCTGGGCACCCTGCACGCTTTGGCCTTTCCCACTGCAGATTCATTCCTTCAGCCCTGCTGCTGCCCAGCTTTGCTGCTGAGTGCCAGAGTGCACCGGACACCCGTCGCTTCCCTCCCTGCCCTACAGCCAAATGGGGCCCTGAGAAGTAAAGCTGTAAGGACACAGAGCTGTAAGAGCCCCTGAGCCCTCAGGAAACCAGGAAGCTGCTAAGAGCTTTCCAGGGCCTGGCAGCATCTTGCAGTGTCAGCCACACGTCTGTAACTGTAACATTTCTTCTCAGTTGATACGCTAAAGTGATTGGAAAGTAAAAAAATGAGTGTTTTTTCATTGTGTCATGTTGCAGCGTACATCCATATGTTTCTACAATGATATGCTTTGCATAGGTCCAGTGCAGAGCACAGTGCAAAAGCCTCATGTTCTTGCTGTACCTGGGAAATACAGTCTGCCTTATCCCCAGGTGCTCCTCTGATGTTACTGGCATCTACGTCTGTGAAAAGAATTCCTGTACTGAAGGCAGCTGTGTTATTAATAAGCTAACAGGCCTTTTCAAGGAAGGATGCACATTTATTCATGACAGGAATCAAACTGCAGTATCATCAATAATGTATATGCAAAGCTTGTCATCTGTAAGTACAATCAAATAAAAACATTTTCTTTCAATGCTATGCAAATTTATCATYCTTGCTCTGGAAATATTACATTTGCTTCAACTTTTATCTAAGTAAATACACTGTAATATATATATATATATCAATGTAAAAATAAGCTTAGTAATAGTGAATGTCCTACTTATATGCAAGAACCATCAGTGAAGATTCATTCCTATCCCTGTTTTTATTTCTGGTTTTCCTTTGGTGCTTACTTTTGATTTTTGTCTACTTACCATCTGAGGTGGCTGAATTCTGCGATGAACATAACCATAACAGAGAAGCACCCAACCTGCAGAATCGAATGTGTGATTACAGAAGCACATSGGAAGTAATCAAAAACTCCCCAGATTTTAAAAATAACCCTCCAGTGACCAACAGCAGCTACATTACTCCTCCTTCCTTCTCATTGCTGCAGAAGAGAGATAGAGTGATATGTTTAGTGCTTGACATTTCTAAGACTGTAAGTGGGGTAAGTTCATACTCAGATAYATTTTATTGCATTTTACCTTTCTAGATTATGTTTTCAGACACTGTAGATGAGATGCACTTCTCTACACAGAGATGGAGAAGTTTGTCTACAGTGCATTTGATTTTCTAGGATTCATCTTCAGTGAAATAAGCTGAGGAGCACATTTAAGCTTTTGTATTTTAATCAAAATTAATATTGGAATTTGCAAAAAGTTTTTAGATGAGTTTTTTCTTTCACCAGTTGATATTTYTGCAGAGGAAGTTTAGCTATTGCTATTGCTGCATATTTTGCAGCTTTCATTGCATACACTTACAAAACTGTTTGCTTTTTACTCTTTTTATATTTAGGATAACTGGATCAAACGATTGCATCAAGCAGCAGAATTATATCTACTGCAAATAGTGGAAGAATATTCTTATGTTGGTATTGTGACGTTCAGTCACAGGGCAGAGATCAAGGCTTACGTGCGTCAGGTCGTGAGCGACGATGTTCGGAAGCAGCTTGCGTCCCACTTACCTGCAGCTCCAGGGAGCGAGAGAGCTGACGTCTGTGCAGGCCTGCAGCTGGCATTGGAGGTGACGTGTTGAGAGCCCTGGTCCCGTTTGTACCTCCTGTGTGGATATTTCCAGTTTTCATTGTGAGGATTTCTATTCCTGGGCCACATTCAATATCTTCAGCTGATTATTTTATTGTTTGAAAATAATTATAGTACTCTTCCAGTGTACTTATTACACACAAATCACCTAGTAATAACGAAAAGAAAAATAACCCAAATTCACCATTAAATCTTTACATCTTTTATAAATAACACTATATGATCTTTGTATGGTTTTACATTTTATATAAATACACATAGAAAACTAATGATACAYATTTCTAAACTTTACAACTTTAGAAGTTCATACTTTTATGAGCGATATAAGCCCTAACTTCTACTGTCCAGATTGCCATTTCATTTYGTTTAAAACAAAAATGATGTTGGCATACTCAGCAGTTCTGGTGCCTGTTCATAATCAGGATTTCATCTGCCACGTGGACAAAAACCTTTGTCAGAATGTCAAGGCAGAAATATGGAAGCAGAAATGTTCTTTCTGCTCTGATTTTAATTGTTTTTCTGTTTTAGTGAGAGTTTGTAGTCTCAGCCTTARGCCATGAGGATTTTGTCTGTAAAAATACCTGAGGGGAAGGAAAGTAAAGCAGAAGGTATCTGCATAGTACACATATGCAGCATATTCTGATTTTATTCTTTGCTATTTCTATACCACAGTATACTATGGTATAAAAATATCATAGTATAGAATGTATAGTATATACAGTATATGAAATACCATAGTACAGAATATCATAGTATACTATGGTATAAAAATAACAAAAACTAAAATCAGTCACTAAATTTCAATGGACTTTCCTGATTATCTTTCTTTTGAAGAAAATGACAGAGTTAATTCCATGTCAGATTTATTGCTTCTGTTAATACTGGTCCTTCTGCCTCAGGTAATCAGGAAGAAAGATGGAAGTACATATGGATCTGAAATTGTACTGGTGACAGGTGGACAAGACAGTATGAAGAAGTGTTTTTCTGATATGGTTAACAGTGGATCAGTCATTCACACAATTACTGTTGGGTCTTCTGCTGCTAAAGAAATTGAACATTTCTCCAAAGAGACAGGTAAGTATTGGAACAAACTATGACTCCAATCCTGAAAGCATTCAGCTCAGATACATCTAGTAAAGCACAATGTACGTGTACCTGTGTGAAACTGTGAACTTGCCAATATATTTCTCTTTTGAACAATTTCAAGAAGTGAGCCTCAGCTATGTAGTTCGCGGTCACAAAAGTTACCTAAGAAAAGCAGCTGTAGTGTCAACAGAGTAAAATTCCTTATGAAGACATCTTCATCTCCAATCAGTAATGCTAGTGGATCCATAGATCTAAAACCAGAATGAAAATCAATGATATGGTGAACTCATTTAAACAAAAGTTGTCAAGATTCTAGACTTTAACAGATACTTGGGTGTAGCAAAATCAGTAAGAATTGCATTCAGTGACTGAATTTCACAGGAGAAATTGCCGTGTACAAGCAGCTTTTTCTTAATCCTTAGTCTTGAGTTGTTAATTTCTAATATGCATGCCACTGTTTCTATTGTAAGTGTTCACATATTTCATCAATACCTATCTTGCAAAATTCTTAGGTGTTCTTTTTTTGAAATGCTTGTAATTTCTTAATGCACAAAGACATTTCATTGCAAAATTTTAGCCTTTTGCCTTTGTCTTGAATTGGTTAGATACTTAGGTCTTACAGTAGTAACCTCTATTTTTCAGTAGGTATGGTTTCTAAGTAATTTAAAATTTGAAGGTCTGTTTAAAAATGAGCTTAAACTGCTCTGAAATGTTTGAAAGCAGTAGGTTACATTATATTTACCCTGAATTCCTCAGTAAAACTTATTTTATAAAGCCCGTATGAGCATTTAAGTAAGAATAAAGATTCATGTATGAACAGGGCTAAATTTTRCTCTGTAAACTAATGTGTATTAGAGGGTCAAAACTGGAGAGTGAGGCACAAATTTTCAAATGTGTCTGCTAGTTGTTCTTTTGTTCCTCTTATACATTTGGATAAAGAGCACAGCTCATTCGTGTGCATAGGTACTTTTCAAAAGCTGGCCTTGAGTGTTTGTCTTGAAAATAATCTTCATTTATGCAGGTGGCCTAGATAGGTCTTTGACTTGACAGGCTGTTCTACTTGGTTAGAATTGTAGTAGTGGATTTGCAGCACTATCAGGATGTTTTTGTAAAGCAAAGTGAACTTATTTTTAAAAAGTCATTACAGAGTAGTAAGCTCATGTTGTCATTTTAATTCAAGAGGCAGTTTGAGGCTGATGAGAGAACGTTTACTAACAAGAGGGTTAGTGTCTGCAGGTAGGGGAGGAGGCTGTCCTCCCTTCCTAATACTACTGTGGGTTTTGTGGCATGACTTACATCCTGGGAATCTAATTCAAAGACCATATCATGTGTAGTATGGAATAACTGCATTTGAAATAAAATCTTTGCTCTGCTTCAGGAGGGCTGAAGTTTTTTGTCCCAGAAAGACTGGACTTCAGTGACTTACTGGATGTTTTTAGTGGAATTTTGTCTAGAAGTGGAGATACTTTCAATCACTCTATTCAGGTTTGTCTTATAAGCACAGTGGGTTTTTTTGGTTTGTTTGTTTGTTTTGATAAAACCAGTACTTAGCAAATTTTCCTAGCTGTTATATTATTTTCTCCCAGTGACCATTCAGCTTGATTTATAGTCCCATTTCCTTTTGTTGCAGGTTGATAGGCTGATTATTTTTTCTRTAATTTGACAAATAGCAGTAATTTACCTAAAATCCAACTGGGTAACAGAATATGCAAGCCTTTTTCAATGCTGTTGCATTTTTAACCTGAACCAAGGCAGGGACTCATGGTTATTTCCACCATTCAATGGAGCTGTTACTAAAATCTGGTAATCTGTGCAAGTAAATAGGACAATGAAGGCCAAAACCATTACAGAAGATGAAAGTTAAAAATAGGTATATAGAAAGAAAGAAATACATGTTTGGGGGCTTTTTGTCAGATTTGATAATTTAAAATGAGAATTAATGCCTTTCTTTGTAAGCATATGTGATTTTCAGAACTGATGGTTTTTTCTTTTTCATAGATTGAAAGTGCTAGTGACAGTATTGGCAGGTACAAGGAACTGCGTAGGACAGTGACTATTGACAGCACAGTGGGAAGAGAAACATTCTTTGTAGCCACTTGGCAGACGTCTGGAGCTCYGGAGATCACACTGTCTGATCCCAGTGGGAAAAGTTACACCAACAAGGACTTTGACATTGATTCAGTTTTCCATGTAGCTCGTCTTCAGATTCCAGGAATTGCAGAGGTAAGATTTAAGATCTCTTTTTACTTGCTAGGTGTGGAAAAGCATCTTAATTGTTCATTGTTTGCATTCTATTAAAGGTAAGTACAATCATGAGATAATGCTGTTCTGCTGCTCCATGCTATCAGTGTGCAAAGCAATTTCCTGCTAGGTTCAAGAGCACTACCKTAAGGTTTTCTCTCTACCTCTTTTCACTTCATTTAAAACTCATTTCCAAATTTCTGAATCCTGTTAGTAGCCAGAAACTCAATTTTCTGTTATCACATTAAGCAATACATGACATCACAGAGCTGTTGTTTCATCTGTAACGTCCCACTCAAAATTACTGTATTGTACATACAAACTTTATTCTAAAGGTTTGTTGGATAAAAGGTGCCATAGATTTGACTCGAGGTCTAGCAAGTTATGCATCTAACTTAAAACTGCAGTAAGCAGACCTAAATTAGCTAAATCAGATGCACCGGTTTAACACAGAGGGGACAGGTTGCATGAGATGTGTGCAGGAGGTACAGGTCGTGTCCAATATCTTCTCATCCAGAGCAGCTTTAGGTTGCTTTCTATTCCATCTGAATTTAAACATGGAAATTTATGCTACATGTACATAGATGAAGATACATGAAGTGATGGATCTGGAACAATATCTAAATGTATAAATTTTATTTATTTCTCATTTACATCTGGTTCAACTCATTATTCACTATTCTTGTAACAATGAAAATGTTCATAATGGTGTTACCTACCATTATGAAAAAGACCAAATACACTGAACTTTCAGATGCTGAGATCTAAATTCTATTAGAAAAGTTTTTAAAATTTTGCCAAAAGTCTGAACTACAACTGCTTACTCAGCCCCAAGAATTTTGCTTTAGAATCCTTTCTCTTTTTAGGATAATTTTTACATCACTTTGCCATTTGAAGAGTTTGGGGGAATCTTTTTCACCAATGGAAATTAGTGAGGAAGAAACCAGAAATATTAACCAAAACTAGTACCTTGACTTCTGTGAAGTATAGATTTATAGCACTTCCAAACAAAAGCAAGGTATGTGGACTACATTAAGGCCTTCTGAACTACTTACAAAAGGGATTCCTGCTTAATTTAGTAAACTCATCACTGTTGTTAGTGAACTCCAGTGTTTGTTTTATATTAAAATTACATACATTTCTAATTTTTTTGAGTGTCCAGAAAGTAGGAAAATAGAGTTGCAGATTTTTTTCAATGCCACAAGAAGGCCCTTCATGAAAGTAATCTTTAATCACTTAAGTAGTCCACGGAAATTAAGGAAGTCTCATAGGGAATGGTTTCAGAACCACAGTCTGGAGGTCAAATTGCAAAAGTTTTTCATGCWGAGTTATATTTATGAGTATTCCCATTGACAGAAACAAAGCTACTCAGTTAATAAGTAACTAAGCATTACTTAGTTTAAACAGGCTATTAGAATTTAAATAAGCTTAAATTAAATTATCCAAAAGAGAGTTATTTCATTTTAAAAGGGCTGAATTCTTCTTTCCAGACAGGGGAATGGATATACACCCTGACGAATATTCACCCATCTCCTCAAGTTCTAACAATGATGGTGACTTCTCGAGCAGCAAATTCAACTATACCTGCGGTGGCTGTGAAAGCCCATGTGAGCAAAGATATAAATGACTATCCCAATCCAATGGTTGTCTATGTACAAGTTAGTCAAGGGTTTTCTCCTATTCTTGGAGCAAATGTGACTGCCATTATCAGTCCACAGAATGGAGATCCAGTTTCCTTGGAACTTTTTGACAACGGAGCAGGTAATAAGACTCCTGAAATAAATTTGAAAATATCTAGAAARTTAAATTAAAGGTCTCATCCAACTGCAGTCTTTACTGAGTACTCTGTAATGTAATGCACTGAGACAGAGTAGCCATGRCTCAGTGGTAATGTGCATGAGTGCACCTGAGATTATTGGGGTTATTTCTAGATATTTTCTCACTTGGTAAATCAATTATGAGTATAAATTTAAATGCACAGAGCCAATAATCCAGTAAATGCCAGTAATCAGAAATGTGCTGCGTATCAATTAGTTATCACTTAACTGTTAATTTAAGATATCAGTTGCTATTCACACTAATCAAACTGATCAAGTTCAGCACATTAGAGGATGAAGCCTTTAAAGCTCAATAACTTAAAATGTTTTCAGTAGTAAGCAGGCCCAGAAGGCAAGGCTGAGCACAGTCTGTTTTCCAGAGCCCATCATTTTGTTAATAGAGCAGCAAATTATCCAGTTATTTTGGTAATTTTTCATACTATTTTGATAAAATGTATTTCTATACTGAATTTCAAAACAATATCAGAAGACTGCTGTAATGAATCTACTTTTTGCACAAACACATATTTTATATACTTGATGTAATTTTTGTTTCATTTTCATGACAGAAACCCGCAAGGGTGGAAATAATTCTTACACAGAGGTAATTAACATTAATCACTTTAATTAACATTAAAGTGATCCCTTGGGAGAATGRGTCCATATTTGAGAAGTGCTTTTCAGGAAGTAAAACCAAGCACTTCAGAGGTCCAYATGCAGGGGCCCTGTTTCACCCAAACTCCTGGGGCAGCAGGCTTGTTTTGCCAAGCTCCATTCACTTGTGCTTTAGGATTCTTTGAGATTCATGCTAACTTTTAAAATATACCACAAGCTGTTTTATAATGGAAGCTGTCTTTTCAACTATTTGGATTCCCTGGTGTACAGGAACAACCTGTACTTTATGCCTCAGAATTTTTATTAGGTTAAGATTACCAATAATGATGTGTTGCCAGTAATTTGTGATGGTGGTTATAGTAAATGAATAATGTAYTTGAAGAAACTTTTGCATGTGTTTCCAAGGAAGGGTTTTAAGGATATAAGGAAACTCTTCTTCTGCTCTATCATAAAATAACAGATGATTTTGCTAAGAAATTAGCTATTCTTTCAGTTAACACACAATGAAAAGACATCTTAATTTCAGACTGAAATCTTCTTCAACACTTTTAACAGATCATCAAAATCAGAAGAGCTGCACAGATTGATTGCAAGTCAGGGAAAAATATGCTTACTGCTTCTACATTCTGGTGTCCACAGACGAATCTAGAAGGCTTCCACAAGCACACCAATCTGCTTGCTTTTGCTTTGTTAAATTATACCTTCTTTTATATCTAGGTTCTGACATTGTCAAGAATGATGGTATCTATTCAAAGTACTTGTTTTCTTTCCCCGGGAATGGCAGATACAGCCTGAAAGTCCATGTCCACGCTAGCGCTAACAGAACTATCGTACCCCAAAGGGCAATGTCGTGGAGCCACGCCATGTATATACCGGGTTATGTGGAGAATGGTAAGGCAAAGGAACATGCAGAAAAGCACACAGTTATTTAGTCCAGCGCCTGCATACTTCAAGTCCCTTTGCAAATGCTAACAGTAGCATCAGGTCAATGATATCCCATTGAGGAGATACTTAGTTTTAAATGCTTTTCAAACACTGAATGTAGTTGTTTCCCTTCAACACAAGAATAAATATCTATTCCTCAGAACAATGTTAGAGCAGACTGTAAACCACTAATACAGCAGTTATCTATGTAATACCTATAGACATGAGCGGCCAGTAAGGCATAAGGATGTAGGTTTTGTCTGTGAAAAGAACAGCTGTAGGTTTGGTAACTTGAGTAACTATAATGAATCATCTTAAATTAAATTGAATTGAGTTCTTAATTGAACTTAAAAGAACTATTGAATCTCTCTAAATGAAGTTCTGCAATGATTTTGTAACAAATCACAGTTCACTTTAATATTAATCTTAGTAATTCTCTTGAAACTGCGTTAAGTACATAACTGCTCTGGAAATTACTTAATTTAGATTACTGGATTTTTTGGATTGAAAGCAATGGAAATGAAATGAAGCTCAGGTCATCTGCAGAGTACAATATTATGCAAATACTTAAGACTGATCAACATTTTTTAAAAATGCTTCAGGTAAAATCAAGATGAACCCATCAAGACCCTCAATTATTAGAAATGATCTTCAAATCCAAAGAGGTGGTTTCCACAGAACATCTGCAGGAGGCTCCTTTATAATATCTGCGGTTCCAGTGGGACCTTATGCTGATGTGTTTCCACCATGCAAAATTATTGACCTTGATGCCAGAATAGAAGACAATAAAGTTGTATTATCATGGACAGCACCAGGAGATGATTTTGACAAAGGCCAAGGTAGGTTTCTTGGCTTGTTTGCCTGTCTCCTGCCCAAGGAGAAAATGCAAAATGAGTAAATTTTCCATCAGCATTTTAAATTAATTTCCACATTTTTTTTTTGCATCCAGAAGCACCTTTATAAATGTCAGCTCACATTTTGTGTGTGCAAAATAATGGTTCTAGACTTTCTACTAGTAACTGAAGACTCAACATTTCTTATTCTTCATTACGAAACAAATGTTTGTTAATTATAAATGGGTTAAGTGTGTCATGATGGTAATAGAGTGTGATACGCATACACAACACAATACCTGTAATGCACTTCRTCTCACTGACACCACTGGGGGTTGTGTTATCGACTACAGTGGCTCCAGGCTTTGCTCCTGTTATTCTTGCATAAATTTTAAACAGAATTAAGTAGCCAAAGTATTTTTTGAAAAAAAAAAATCAAAATTGATGCCAAATTGAAGAGAAGGAAATACTGTATGAATGCAAAGAGACTGGAAATAAGCACATCAGATTTTGATCAAATACAGAATTACATTTCACTTAGTGGCAGGTGAAATTCAGTGAAGTCAGGAATACTATGAGACTTTAGTGGGGTTCACGATGATCTGTTCATTTCAATACTGTATCACAGTGAGAAATCATTATCAGAATGATCCAAGCAGTCAGCTTAGGTAGCAAAAATAACTTTTTTCAGATCTATCTACCGTGCTGTATTTATCTTTCCCGCTAGCTGAACTGGCTAATGAAACCAATAATAAGTTAATAAGTGTTTTAAAGAGAAATCAGAAGTTTTAATGATAGCTAACACACAGATGAAAATATAWTTTAATACTTGTATTTTCAGCTGCAGGTTATGAAATCAGAACAAGTGAAACTCCTCTGGAGTTACGGGACAACTTCTATAGGACTACTTTTGTGAATGCCTCCAGTCTCTCACCTGAGCTTGCGGGTTACAAAGAAATGTTTGCATTTAAACCAGAAGCCTTTACAGCAGGAAACATCAGCATCATCTAYGTAGCTATACGGGCCATTGATGAAGTCTCTCATCACTCTGAGCTATCTAACATTGCACAGGCAGTAATGTTTATTCCTCCAATGGACTCTCCTAYTTCTAATGTGGAATTTGGTGTTTCAACAATATTGTTACTAGTCTTTGGATTGTTAGCAGTAGTTTGTCTTACAGGCAGYACAACCTTCTTTTTATTAAAGAAAAAGGACAAAAAGACAGAAACTACTACTAAATTGCTTTAACTGAAATTCCAAGCTTGTCTGACYGCTAAACATTTTTAATTTTTTGTTTAAATGATTTCCTACTCAAAAATAGGTGTTTTACCAGGCAGAAAGAATAAGCAGATAATTACATTCCAGATTTGTATGAAACCGCAGTGATTTAATAGTCATATGTTGTATATGAATTTTATAACTGAAGAGCAGGTTACATTAAAATAAATCACATGTAAATAATTGTACTGAATAGATGCAGTATATGTATACCAACTTACATGTATGTCAAATATGTCATAGCCTATTCTTTTAGTATGAAGATTATGATTAAATTGAGAAACATATTTTAGTTGATGTGCCTTAGAGAAAAATAATAAAAAACCACGAGCTCCTGCAGATCATATTTTCATTTCTATAAATATGTCTGCATTTTAGCTGTCTGTATAAACATATTCATGTGTGTGTGTGTGTGTGTATATATATGTATATATAGACACACAAATACAAAAGAAAGGTCTTAAAATATATTTGTAGGGTTAGATTTGTTTCCTCCATAATGTAAGACTGCAATTTTAATTATTATCTTGTAGAAAARCCCTGTGTAAAGCTAAGGCATTGTAATATTTTATAATGGAAGTCTAGGATCTAGGCCATGTTACCACTCCACTGCCTTAGAGAAAAATAAAATGAAAAATAAAGGAAAAAGAAAACCCTGGAATCCTGACTGCTCCTGTTCTTTATGGTGAGAATTAGGGTAGTCCTGTATTTCCACTTTGTCTGAGTCTTAATCCAAGGGGCTTAAAAAAGTCCTCTGCTAATGTAAGAGATGAAAGAAGTAAAATCCTGTGTTATTCATTGAATGTAGAGTTGGAAATAGCAAGACAGGTGGAAAAGGAGGTAGAAAASAGGAAGTAAGTGGTCAGAGAGAAGCAAGGACACAGGGTGGCATTTCAGTGCTGTCCTGGCCTGGGGGTCATGGTGCTGCTGGAAGGARCAACCCTGGTCCCCTGCTTGCAGCTGCACAACTTCCGCCTTCCTTCTGCTGCCTCTAAATGATGCCAGTAAATCAGGTTTCTGATTCAGCTGAAAACTCTGCTGAGTTTCCAGCAAAAGATAATGGAAATAGTGCAGTGATCAATTCCCTCGTGAAACCGCACCCCCAGAAGCGGGTGAAGTGTCGCAGGCTGCTTTGGAGCTTTTCTCTTCTGCCCTTTGAGATTCATCACAATTTTTTTTTTTTCTTCTAATTAGATTAGGGAAGGAGGAGAGAAGAGAGGTACTGGAGTCAGCAGAAAAAATATAAACTTCATCCAAGGAAAAAGCACAAGTGACTTGAATAGAACAATAAGGTTTATTATTATGGTTTATTATTATGGTCAAAGTCAAACAAGCAAAGAACAAGCATAAGTTTTATTATGGTCAAAGTCAATCAAGCAAAGAAAACAGAAAAAAAAAAGTCAAGCAGACAAGCAAGAAATCAAGGCATAAAGAAACAAGAATAACAAGAATACTGCTAACAACTTTTCCCCTTGTAATTCTCTAATAATTGAAAATGGAATGTGTTCATGTAATTACAGAAACAAGGTTTTTTATAYCCTGGACCCACTCCTGCAACTAAACTTGGAAAATTGAATCTAGAGAAAATACTTTTTCTCTTAATGGTAATATTGGATGTTTGATAAGAACACAAAAAAAAAAGAGTAAATTACAAGTTAACTAAACMCTCTCAAGCTATACTTAAAACTTTTAAGGAGACATATTTACTGTCCAGATGTAATAGAAACAAGAATTTATCAGCTATAAATACAGMCAGCTTCACTTACTGAATTGTGGTAAGATTGTTTTTTTWAATTGGAGCAATTAAAGTGTTAACTGCCTACTCCATGATGAATGAAAATTGAATTCTGAAACAGAAATATTTTTTCTTGCAGAACATCAATTTTCTTTCTCTGCATGTCACAGCAGAATAGAACTTCTAATGCCATGAGAGCTRTAAGGTGTGAAGATGATCATAAAAAGCTCTATGAAAGTACTCTTTATAAGCACATTCATCCTCTGAACAGGTCCATGGTTTCACGTTTTGATCATTCATCAGATATCTCTTGACTGTGAGTGATCAAGATTGCCCCAGAWTCCTCTAAAATACTATCATATCACACACCTTCTATGATCTTCTGGCACCTGGCAGTACGGAGTGCAGTGAGCAAGTGGCAAAGTATTTGAAGAGCTCTGCCCTTTATTGGGCTCTTCCCTAAAGCTGTGATGAGTAGTGCTCTAAAGGAAAGAAAATACTAAAAAACAATAGCAAGACTGGACCTCCCCATAAAGACTTACGGAAATKATCTTTCCACCTAAGTCTTTAATTATGTTTTACTCACCTAAGTTGGTTCTGCCAGATACCATGTAAAGGTCAAAAAAGAGRACATGACRTACCAGGGTGTCTCCAGCTAGGTGWTCGATCTACACTGTTTCCTYGGTCTGAAGTCCTCTGCTCTTACTTGGCTTGTACTTAAGAAAACAGCGAGAATGCAACAGGAAAAGTTAAATGCAACAGGAAGAAGGCAGGAAGATGGAAGCTAGGAGCACATGGGAAAAAACTGTTAGGTAGCAGCAAGAAGAGGCAGCCTGACTGGATAGAGAAGGAGGAGAGCCGGGGATGAGTGCGAGGCAGGCAGGGCAGCATCCTCACCAAGAAAGGGTGCCCCTGGGTGGGAAATACGGATGTGGGGCAGTCACCCACCTCCTCCAGCCGCCAGTAGTCACGAAGCAGGCCAAGAAAGGAGGTCAGGTCAGCACAACAGTGTCAAGATCAGCAATATACAAGGCCTGCCACAACATACTGCTGTGCAGCTCAAGGGAAGCAAGGGAGAAGCTGAGCTGAAATGCAGCTCCCAAGAGATCACAGTTGGAAAGCCCAGTGAGGCCTTTCGAGGCTCTTTCACACAATATAGCTCTTTTACCAGAAGTTTGATCCAAAGCTAAACAGTTTCACCAAATTTCAGCTGGGTTTGAACACTGGCAGTTAAAACTCTAAACTCTGGAGGCTGTCAGAGAAGTATAGAGGAAGACTGTTATGAGTTGGTTGGTGCACTTAGGACTTTGAGAGAAGGAAGTAATAATAAAGACAGAAAACTGGAAATGCAGGAACTTAGCAAGGGGCAAAATATAAGGGAAAAGTACTGATACTGGCAGAGAGAAACACACCAGGAACAGCAATAACAAATTACCACAGAACAAGAAAAATATTAAATAAACTAATATTGTTGCTGATAAAAAAAAAAAAAAAGGAGTATTTTGCTAATATTTCTGTCCAATATTTGGGCAAAAAAAATGGACTAAAGTAATTTCCTCCCATGAAAATTTGGAGCTATTTTTCAGTCCACTAGGAAAAGAGGAATAAATACTCATCTGAAAGTATTTTTAAATGCACGTGTTTGAAGAATTTTCACCTAGTAATTTTAAAAGAATTGAATGAAACCTTCGGCAGCAGTCTACTCTCTTGATTATTGATAACTCTTGCAGTATCACTAAGAAGGAAAATACTTTCATAAGGCAAAGGGAGTGTCAGAAAGTCTGCTAAACATCTATTTCACATAAGTAATAGAAATTATTGGGACCCTTACTCACTCACTGAACAGCCTCTGCCCTGCCTGTTCTTTCAGTTCTACATTACAGAGTGGTGCTGAAGTTTTCTCCGAAACTTCCAGAGATCTGCGCTTGCATGATTATTATTTCTATTTACACAGGAAATGGTCTAGATCAAAATTAGATATGGAGTAACAGAACATCGATCACATTGAGATGCATCAATGTCACAGGGAAATACATATATATAATGAATATTAACATTCAAATATTTCCTCCTAAAATTAATACATAGTTATATAATCCAGGGCATCCAATGACATTTCAGCATATTTGCATAAAGGATCAAAGTCCTGTCACTAAATGCTACTTTTTTTTTTGGGTTCAAAGGCAGTTGTATAAATAAGGCTGGTAAGTCATCACTCTTCTAACCAAAAATCAAGCAGAGAGCAGGACCAGCAATGGTGTTGTTTCAGAGCTTGATTTTTTTGCTGGCTTTTCAGCTCTCACATGTGGCAAGAGGTTCTATGGTATGGCTAAATCAGAATGGCTATGAGGATTTGGTTATTGCAATTAATCCCAAGGTGCCAGAAGATGCCAACATCATTGAAAACACAAAGGTAAGAACACTTGTATTTACATACTTTATTTCTTAGCATTTTAGAATGACATGACTTTTTCTCACTTGTAATATWGCAAGAATCTGGTCCAACTCCCATTCACATCAATGGGAGCCTTTCCTGTTGTTTTGAATTAATTATTCATTAGTCCCACAGTTACTAAACCAGTCATTTCTAATTTGCCTTTTGATCTACATTTTTTTTTCTAAGACAACGGCTTGCTGTGRGAGACAACATGGCAATATATTCTTCAGGGAGGCAGGCTGAAAGTGCTTTAAAGGGTCTTCCAAATCTTTTCCTGAAAAAAAAACCCTACAAATATTTTTTTTAAAAATCACTGATTCTCTTATCATTAGCTAGTATAGCTCCTACTGTACAAAAAATGCTTAGGTTTAATTTCCAGGCATAGCTTTTATTGCAGCCATTGTAGACTCCAGAAAGGCATCCCACATAGATGCCTCTACAGTTCAACTTCCTTAGAGTAGGATGATAGCCAGAGCTCAAAGCAAGGAATATATTTTTGATGATGCAAAATCATTTTGGAGAAAATCTGCTGAAAGACTGAACAGCTACCCCAACTTCTGCAGTTTGTCTATGCCTTGATGTGTAATACTGTATAATCAAGTGACCCTGATGTAGAGTCATCTCAGTCCAATATCAGTTCTAAAATCAAGCACAAAGGATGTCATTCTTAGGTCAGTCAAGTAGCTTACAACTTTTCCAAATTTCTCTCACCTAACAAGAGGATGACATTAGGCTAAACTGCATGTGATAATTTACTTTTTATCATTTCTCTCTGATTGATACCTGTTTTAAAAAATAAACAAAATTTAAATCACTCCATTTCAATTAGAGGGCAAGCCACTTCAAGTTTTCTTGCTTAAGGCAGAATCACAGCTGAGGCACTTGCTGTTTCTGCGAAATAACTCCTATACTCTGAGTTCACACAGTTGCTGTCCTCATGAGAACTTGCTCTTACAGCATTCCTGTAATGCTGCGGGCAGAGGAAACTGTCTCACTGTTTCCCAGCCTGTCATGGAGTTAGCAGGCACTATCACTCCCACTACTGGCAAATTTAATTTCTTCAAGAGATATCCTTTAGCTGACTTTTTACTGCACATGAAACATCAATGTTTGATTCCAAGGTCTTTGTCACAGTTGGAGTGTGAATTTCATTCCAGTTTCTGGTTAAGAGGATTATAGAGCAGGTGTAGGCTTCCAATTTGGATTCTTCATTTGAATTCAATTTGATTTACAATTTGACTTCTTTATTCTTTTTGTGCTGAAGATGGTAATACTTCCTTTGTTTTGTGTTATGTATGTAGTGGTTTTTTGTTTTACTATTCTTTCTTGACAAGTCTAAGTTATTCTTGAACTTACTATTAATTTTAAAATTAATATTAGCATTATTTTATTTTATTCCCTAGGCCATGGTTAAAAGTGCTTCTAATTACTTATTTGAAGCTACAAAACAGCGATTTTTTTTCAAGTCTGTAAAAATCATAATTCCGAAAACATGGAAGAAAARCACCAGCTACTTAAGGGTAAAAACAGAATCATATAGCAAGGTAAGACCTAAAGTGTAAGGAACAGCTCTTTTTGATATTATAAATACAAAATGTAGGACAAATCCTGAAACTTTTCAGTCAAGAGGAGAGTTGATGACAGCATTGGTAAAAACTTGTAGAACTTAAGTTATCCGGAAAGAACCACTAACCCTTCTCTATTTTCACACTGCATTTCTTAATGTCATTTATGCCTTTGTTGTAGGCAGATGTCATCATAGCAGATCCCTTCTTGAAATACGGAGATGATCCATATACTTTACAGTACGGAGGATGTGCGGAACAAGGAAGATATATCCATTTCACACCTAACTTCCTACTAAATAGCAACCTGGTTAATGTTTATGGAGATAGAGGTAATGCTGCCATTTAGTTCCATTACCTGTTTTAGTGTTATTATACAATGTCCATGATTTTCCAAAGTGATTAATGAATTTTGAGTATCTTGGTTTGGTTGTCAGATTTTTCAGAAGTAGTAAATTCCTGTAAAGTGTCTGAAGCTAAATATTCAAATATTGGATCCAAAAGTTGTTACGTATTTAAAAATCCCTAAMTGGTTATTCTTCCGTGCTGTAATTACTGATATTAGCAACAGCCTTCCTTTTAAGCTCACTTACCAGATAAATCATCCACTGCCTGTATATCTGGTTTTATAATGCGTTAGGGACAAAAAAAATGTAGAGGTTTGCTGCTGTATGGGACAGAAAACTCAACAACAGCAACAAGTTCCTTGTAAGATTTTTGCCAGCTTAAAAGGTTTCTTTAGAACAGTTCCTTAATTTCTGGATTCCTGAATTCAATTCCTGAAATCATATATGAATCAAAATTCTAGTCATGGTTGCTAAATTGTACCTCAAGCTAAAATTATTTTCCTTTTCTTAAGCATGTCACAATTTTCTTGTATTATATGAGAGATTTGTTAAAATTACTTACTCAAATGCTGAGTTGATTTTAAATGGTTGTGTTTAGAATGTGTCTATGTTACCGCTTTTCAACAGGCAGAGTTTTTGTGCATGAGTGGGCTCATCTTCGGTGGGGAGTATTTGATGAATATAATAACGATGCACCTTTCTACGTGTCTACAAATTCTGGGACAGCAAGTGTTGAAGCAACAAGGTATTATTTTCCAAGTTCCTGCTTTTACATTACACGGTTTTAGACATTTCAACAACAGTTTCAGTATTCTTGCTGCCTGTGTGGAGTTTGTACTTTGAGCTCTGTAGAGTCTCCGAGAGCTGTTCATACGGGTAAACGATGTTTATTCAGCAGCATCTATTGCCCGCTTGCAGCCAGAGTCCAAGCTGGCCGAAGTGCAGAGATATTTTGTAACAGGTCTTACAGACAGAGCTACAAAAGCTCAGTGTGCAACGGCAGACTTCAGTTACCCTCTGTTACATCCTACTTAACAGCATTTTGTCTAATAGTAATCAACAACACTGAAATCTCCTACTAAACCCACTGTGAATTTACATGGTTTCTACAAAGAAACCTTGCCATTCTTTGCARGTTGGCCATTCCAACAGTGTTTTGCTCTGCAAATCCTAGCAAAATATCTTTCCTGCATTGCCCATGAACACCACAGTAATGTTATCAACTGCATCAATAAAAGACAATGGTTTTATGATTTCAACTACTTCCAGATTAGAGTGCAGACTCAGCAAAAGACTGCCTACAGATTCACTTGTGCAGTGTCTCACAGTGATGTGCCAAGAGCAGTTTGCTGCTCTCGACAGCCAAAATTCAAATAAATAACAAAACACATAAAAAAAAAAAAAAAAAACTCCACAAAATACATAGGGATTCCCAGCCAATCCTGTCTATGTTCTCTGCCTCTAGGTGTTCAACTCATGTCACTGGTGCACCTGTTTTCCGAGAGTGTAACGGAAACGCCTGTCATATAAGGCAATGCAGATATGACGGCCAGCTCTATGAAGCTGGATGCACATTTGTACCAGATAAACAACAAAGTATCACAGCTTCTATTATGTACATGCAAAGCCTGTCTTCTGTAAGTATTGTTACACCTTTCCAAATTGTTTAATAATATCTGAGGTCAATTATTTTTGATGCAGGCATTTCTTTGACTAATTTTATTTCAAAGTAATGTACAAATCCTGCTTCCCTCCATAACCTCAAAYAACAAGCAACAATTGTTGCTCATAATACCAGTCCCTTTTCAGCCGGCCTCTGTCCCTTAGCATTTTTTTCCTCTGCTGTGTGCCTGACTTTCTGGAAGGTGTTTTTTGTCTGGTTGTTACTACCCCCATCATTGATATTTCAGCTCTCTGTAGCAAAATCTCTGCTATTTTAACTCAGTTTCGGATTGAGACAAGCAAGTCATGACTTGTTTCAACAATTTTCCTTCTAAATGAGCTTACTCACCTTCTGTATTTGAAACAGCTATCATCTCTTAACTTTTATGACTTCTTAGTACAACTGTCTCTCAGTGAAGATCTTCAATGTAGTCCTGACACTTGTCTGCCTAAGAAAAACTGTAAAAAGAATTAATGTTGGTTGTACTTAATTTGCAGCTGCATAAGCGCCATAATCTCAAAGACTGGAAACAAAAGCTTGTAAGGAGATTTCCTAAAACCAAAGAAGTCCACCCAAGTTACTAGAACCTCCCTCACTCCTTCCTCAGGAGGAGTGGCTGCACACTCTACAGAGAGCAGTGTCCCTAGGGCAGCCTCYTCTACACAGTGTCTTTTTGTGGGGGGAAAAAAAAGACTGCAGAGATCCCTGCAACAAGGACACAAACACGCTCYTTTTGGGGGTGGACTGGATGCTTAAGTCTTCACCTATGATTATTCATAGCATCTGTGCCTAGGATTTGTAGAAATCTGTTTTTCTGAGCCTCTCAAAGGATCCATACTTCCTATCACATTGCACACAATCACGTGCCTGGCAAATCTCCTTCCAAGAGATACTATCAGATTTATTATAATCTGTTCAAAAGAGAAGACAGGAGCCAACGGAATTGATCTGAGCGCTGTTTTGTGTCAATATGGGTAGTGTGCACTGAGATCTCAGCATCCTTTCTTTACTCCTGGTTTAGAAAATCAGATCACAAACATAAAATTGAACTGCTCTAGCCAGATGTCTTACCAATGAGCTACAGGTGATTTTGGATCATTCCGTCTGTAAGGACAGAGGTTAGAATGATGTCAGTCTACATTTCAGCTATTTATTTCTATTTCTTCAGGCAAGCTCTTTCTAAGCTCTTCAGTGGTCATGGCTTCCCCTCATCAGTACTCTGTTGACATACCTGGCATCTCAGGGCAGGGGAGGTTGTTTCTTGACTCTTTGCATCCTTTGCATCTGTCTCCTAGTTCTACCTAGGAAGACTTACAGGAATTGGTTCAAGACTATCAGCTGAACCCAAGAAGATGGTTAAATAAGCAGGCTGCCAGTTTGTGCTGACCCTCATGCTGGGAGCACCTTTCTCTGCTTGCTTCTTCTAAGATCTTGTCTGGAGAGGCACCATGGCACAGAAGACCTTCTCTCATCACAGAACAGCTAACTGTATTTGTCCATTTCTTAACATAAACCCCTTGTTTTCTGAAAYATTTTGTTTTACTCATGCTTTTGAAGTTCATAATTATTATTATCTTTAATCTGCCTTTTTAGGTGGTTGAATTCTGTGACAAAAACACACATAATGCAGAGGCTCCAAATCTGCAAAATAAGATCTGCAATTTCAAAAGCACATGGGAAGTAATTACAGAATCTGGCGACTTTAAAAATTCCTCTGCCCTGAGCACTAGTACACCTCCTGCCGAAACCACGTTCAGCCTACTGCAAACCCAAGACAGAGCTGTCTGCCTTGTACTGGATGTTTCTGGGAGCATGACAACAGTAAGAATACACATTTTAAATGCATTTCTGACAAAAAAAAAAAAAAAAAAAAAAAAAAAAANAAAAAAAAAGTAGATATAAAATAATTTAAATACTTTCACTCATTTTCCAGTAATTAATTTTATTATTTAGGGGAGAAAAAGAAGACATTGATTTCTCCCCATTGACCTTAATTATAAATTTGTAAAAGAAATTCCTTCCAAATACTAAGAGCAATCAAACTTGGTTTCATTTTGTCTTATAAAATCTCAGATTTAAATATTTTTTCCTTTGTTTCAAGACCTAGAATGACAGTGCTATTGTATTTTTCCCAAACAGAAAATATGTTATAAATTTATTTTGTATTCTTATTAAATGAGTCTAGTATCTTTTAAAGACACACAGCATTTCCTTATACAAATCTTTCTTCTTCCAAGATTCAGTCATGAGCCAAGGACATTTTATATTTTCTCAAAAATATTACAAGTTTGGATTGTCATGTCTCATAGGAATTCAAGATTAAAAATAGACTAAAAATAGACAATTCCCATTGTTAAAACAGTGAAAAAAGTCAGAATCTATAAAATAYATTCTATATGTTTTGACTGATAATATGCTACCAAAACAGAAAAGTAACAAATATTTGATTACAAATGAGGTCATAACCTCAGATGAAATTGGGTTCATGATATCTTTCCATGAAATATGTAATTTTCAAGTACCTTTTCATGATACTAGAACATGATACCTTTCTGGTTTGTGCTGAGCACACATACGAGKTATCTAATGAACCTTATAGCAGATAGGTTTGAACTTTGCATTACAAACTGAACATGAAGGGTTGCTGTATTTTCAGAAGAGACGACATTCTAACGACGTTATTTGTTTCCGCATACAGAGAAACCGCATCCAAAATCTCCGTCAGGCTGCAGATGTATTTCTGCGCCAAATAATTGAAATTGGTTCCTGGGTTGGAATTGTCACATTCGAATCTACAGCATATGAAAAGGCGCCTTTGACACAAATAACCAGTGACGCAACACGCGTCAGCCTTACTGGATATTTGCCTACAAGCGCTGGTGGAGGAACAAACATCTGCGCAGGTGTGGAGAAAGGATTTCAGGTAAAGTGCCATGTGGAATTATCCTTTAGAACGTAGCGGAACTGATGAAAAATTAAGGATTGTATTGCTAAATCACAGACCATAGTTTTCCCACACAAATGCTCATTATAATGAACATCTAGAGTGGGTAAGCATTGAAATGGCAATTTGTGAATGTGTATTCTTAATTCCCCAGGTTCACAAGTCATGAATCAAATGTCTGAAATTATGAAAGCACATAAAATCCTGGGGTTGGAAAAAGAGTGACAGACATTATTCTTTTCTTCTGTATTTTATTTTCTGGGGTTGCCAGTCTTTGAATGAGCAGGTATCACCTAATTTAGTTGCAAGTCTGTGTTATCAGTAGCAATGTATAGGAGAAGCAAAGAGAGAGAGGAGTCGAGAAGAGAGAGGCAGAGAGGAGAAGGAATTTGTCTTACATTTCAAGTTAGCACAGTTGTTTCAAATACATACACTGACTATACTCTGGGATAAGCTAAGATTTAAAATTATTCTGCCTCTAATAATCTTCTTAATTCAGGTGATTACAAACAAATTCCAAACTACATATGGTTCTGAAATTGTACTGCTGACTGATGGAGAAGACTCATATGTGTCAAGGTGCCTAGAAAATGTCAAGCAAAGTGGGGCAATAATTCATACCATTGCATTAGGACCTTCTGCAGCTAAAGAATTAGAACAGTTCTCAAAGATGACAGGTAACTGTGCTAAATGAGCTTTCTCTGGCATGCACGTCCAAGTTTGAAAATGTAAAATAAGAGTTAAGTGCTCTAGAGAATTAAATTTAATAAATGTAATTTTTATAAATTTATTCCTATTCTTAAAGAAGCTTCATTTTCACTACATGCTTTTTTAGTGCAAGGAAGCAGCACTTTAGAACCATTTAGTTGTTTTGATTTTAAAAATATAGTAGCATGACAATACCTTATTACTCAAGGAATTTAATTATGACATTGCTATATTACATCCAAACAGAAGTGTTCTGTAATGTCTAGAATTTTACTTGTGGCATTGCATGCAATGAGCAGGGCTTTCTCTATAATTTGTAAGTATTATTATATAAATAATACTTTTCTCTAACTGCTGCCGCTGCAACCTACTACTAGAAAATGTCAAACACTGTTATCACTCTTGTCTTCAGCGATCTTAGCTGTTGGTGCTACACCATTAGTTTTAAAATAGTTGTTTAAAAATCATCCATCAGGGTGCTGCTCCATGCTATGGTACCTCCAAAATCTGTGGGAGAATGCAGGCTCCTTGGGCAGACTTAGAATGGACACAGTGCTTTAAAATGAGTCGCCAGCTAGCAAGTCTCCCCGCTTAGAAACAGAAATCAAATTGTCAAAGACACTGCACAGCTCTGAGCAAGTGCCCCTGCCCGTGTGCATGACCCCACCTGAGACAGGGCCAAGCACCTGACAAGAGCTATCAGCACGGGAGGGACGGGGGTGAGCAGCCTAACAGGGCAGCGAGGGGCTGTAATAGTAACTTAGAAAAATTTAGTAAAAAATAGTACTTTAAATAGAAATTTAGAAAATAGAAATTTTAGTAAAATAGTAATTTTAGAGTAAAAAGTAGTGTTGCTAATAATTTTGTTCTTGTCTTTCAGGAGGTTTACAGCTTTATGCTATAGATCAAGTCATTCCCAGTAAATTAATTGAATCATTCAGTGGAATTACATCAGGAAGTGGAGATATAACTGAACAATCTATTCAGGTCTGAATACCAACACCTATTTTCCTCCTGTGCTCTTAGCTGATTAGTAACTGAATGTAAACAATATTGATTCTAATTATTGGTGGCTCACTTCATGGTGCAAAATAACTTGCAGTTTGGAAATACTGGTCTTCTACCTTTAAGTTAAATAAATTGGAGAGAAWCTGACATAAGAAAGCAAGTATAGCTCTTCCAGGATTCGCTCATAYGAATCATTACCTTTTACAACATTTTAATAGTCTTAACTCAAAGAAYAAAGAACCAAAATATAGCTTTTCTCAAACCATAGGTAACATGTATAAACTTTCAGACTATTCACATAGGTAAACTGTTACTTAGAATTTAGCAAATCTCATTCCTTACTTTGTTAATATTTTAGCATAGATCCAGTTCTGTGTTTTATCCAAACTGAATTATTAGCAAAAACAGCTAGATTCTAAACAGCACCCAATGCAGAACTAGCAGGTCTGGTGGGATTTTTTTTTTTTTTTAATTATTATATTGCCTTTCATTGACCCTTCCACCTCATTTACATAACAAATTTTTTTTAGTTCATGAAGAGATGTTTTCTAATTGCAGATTTAATTATTTATAAAACAGGAGTGAGCAAATTATGTGAAAATTGTTACCTGTTTAGTAAAGGAAATCCTGTTCTCTTTCCTCTGTCTTTTCCTTTGTTTTTCTGTTGTTTCTCTCTTGACTTTTAAGGTCTATAGTCATATGGGGAAAGGGTTTTTTCTCGCTCTCTGAAGGACAAACTAAAGTAGAAATACCATGATGCTTTCTTGCAGTATAAAGATCTAGATGCTCTAAATAAGTAGAAAAATAGACTAGATACAAAACTTAGGACTTAGGCTTACCATAACTTATTATGTTCACTGTAATTTTTACACTTAAATCAGTGTTACTATGCAAGCTACCATCATAGAAARTGAGCCTGTGATTTTACAGTTCATCTTTACCCAAGAGTTCTGTCAAGTGGCTCTAATTTCCCCGTAGGCAGAGAGAGTAGCACTAGACACTGCAACACAGCAGAGCCATCTTCATGTTAGGTTAGTTTCCTTACGGCATAAATTCTTTTCAAATCCAGCCCAGACTAATGTGATTTAAACCAAAAACACATGTGTGAAATATTGCTCAGCAGCTGATGAATCAATCTGAAAAGATGGTATTTTAAAAGGTTTCCTCCTAACAAGAAGATAAATTTTATTTTTTCCACAGCTTGAAAGTAAAGATCTAACAGTTGCAAGTAAACAATGGATAAATGATTCTGTGACTATTGACAAAACTGTGGGAAATGACACTTTCTTCGTCATTGCATGGAATAATTCTCAACCACGCATTTTTCTAAGGGACCCAAAAGGAAAACAATATGGGAACTCAGAYTTCACAATTGATACTTCAAACACCAGAGCAGCTAGACTTGGTATAAGTGGCACTGCAGAGGTAAAGACTGAACATTTTCTTTCATTTTCTGAATACATCAACATTTCCTAAAAGCAAGCATACACCCTTTCTTTGATCATTTTTTATGATATAAGGGGGGTGGGGGAAGGAAAGGTGTTATTAGAACAGGAAGGTTTCTAACCAGATTTTTGTATTTTTGTATTTGATTTGCAGGCAGGAGACTGGCATTATTATATTGAAAATGATTCCACACTAAGTCAAATTATATCAGTAACAGTTACCTCTCGAGCAGCAGCATCTACTGTTCCTCCTGTGACTGTCAAAGCCTACATGAATCAGTTGAACATTGCACCCTATGCAGTTGTTATTTATGCAGAGGTTAGTCAAGAGTTTTTGCCTGTTCTTGGTGCAACTGTGATAGCAACCGTAGAGAAAGATAGCGCTGCAGCAGAAAGCCTTCAACTTCTGGATAATGGTGCAGGTAAGTTTCTATATTCACAGTCAAAACTTCTGCATTTATGCATTTTAGAATCCAAGTCTGCACACTCCCTTCAAATCCAGTGATAACTGGGTCACAACTAAGGCCTAAATCAAGAAAAAAAAATAACAAGGGGGGCAGAGAGTGCTGTAGGACTGAAGTAAACTATAGGATTTTTGCTTGGTTTGCTGAACATTATTCTCAATATTTCTACATCAAGGTGCTGATACAATCAAGAATGATGGAATCTACTCCAGCTACTATACCACCTTCCAAAGCGGTCACAGATACAGTCTGAAAGTGAATGCTCGCGGGAGAGACACAACCGTGAGACTTGGCCGCAGACAAAATCGAGCCTTGTATATACCAGGCTACAGAGAAAATGGTAAAGAACATTTAAGAAAAGGAGACTGAGTGATTTGTGTTTGAATGTTGCTGTAAATGTTTAACAAATAGGATCACTACCATTCAAGAAACTGTTTTATGTTAATTGTTGTTCCATCTAACATTCCTACAAAAGAAAACAAAATCAAAAAAATTCACCTTACAGGTATGAAGGTGAATATTGCTCAAGAGTAAATCTTGCTCAGTCTTTACATCAGCAACTGAATAGAGATATTTTCAAATAATCACACTTACCAAGACTCTAACATGAAAGCCTTGGGTAAGTCCAATATGCAGAATCAGTATACAAGCTAATATTGGTAGAAAATTTAGGTTATGGTGTTTCTTTAGTTTTGAATGCTTTTTCTTTCTAATGTAGAAGAAATGCTATCTACTCTATTTTGTATTCTCACACATACACACTGTGAGATTTAGAAAAATATAAAAATAGTCTAAAACTCCCACAAACATATGGTCTACAGAACTGAAATTCACYTAGCCTGTGATACGTAGGAAGACATTGACAGAACTGCCTTATTGCAGCCAATACCAACTCCTGCAATGTGCTTTACTGATAGTAATACCACTTGCAGTTTCCTATACTTCAAACTTATTCTGCTTTTGGGTTTTTTACGTTCCATGTTGAGAATACTGAGATCACTTGTTTTTTGCCTCCACCAACTTTTCAACCATGTTTAAGCCAAGGTAAAAAATGGCAGGCTAATAAGAGATAATAAAAGTGAAGGGGAAGTGTAAGGGAGAATTTCGTAATGGTAAAAGCTGTTTTTTTTTTTTCCAAACAGGTAAAATTGAGATGAATGCACCAAGACCTGAAATTTCTGATGAAGAAATACAAGCCCAGCTGGGAAGTTTCAACAGAATTGCAATAAATTCCTTTGTACCAACTATTAGCCCAGGAACTTTTCCACCTGGTAGAATTACAGATCTTCAAGCTTATATAGACAACAACACAATTTTCTTGACTTGGACAGCTCCTGGGSGCATCCTTGATAAAGGACAAGGTAAGTCAGTCATTTTATTTTAGTGAGATGAGATTAATACTTTACTACATTTTATCTAAAATGACATGGCCTAAAGACAACCAACCAGAGATGACAGCTACATCTTTCCCACCTGGAAAAATAACTACTAAAATGTACTCTGTTGCACAACACTTGTTTTAGTTCTCCTTAATTCTTTACAGGAAAGAAACATAGCAAAACCAACAAGCGATATTACAAAGCAAATAGAATTATAAAAATTATAATGCATCCACCAGAGACTCTAGCAACAAATATTATTCCCCATTTGCTTATATGAGCCAGGTAGAAAGAAAATGAAAATACRAAGTTTCAGTCCATATACAGAGATATAGTAAGGATCTATACATAATACTCATTTAAAATTATGTTGTAAGGGAAAAATGAAACCTAATTACAACTGTAATGCACATGCTTTTCCTTTCATTAATCAGGGACTGCATCTTAAAATATAAACTCTATTGTCAATCAGACTACAGTTTCAGATCAAAATTTCATACTGACATACAATTTTTAATAACTGGCCACTCAGGAAACAAATGTGGAAAAAAAAATGCAGATGGTTGTATGCAATTATTTTGCAACCATGCTTCTCTATCAAAACAGACTGATAGCTAAAGTGGCCTGTTATTAGAGCACAACTATTCTAATTACTTARAGTAGTTAATAGGTTAGGGTAGCAGGTTCTGTACTAGTATGTAGAACCCTTCATCTGTCTCTACTATCTAAACAGAGAAAAGGGAGGAGGGAGAGATAAAAACAAGCAGACTGCAAGCAAAGAGGAGCAAGCTTTGTAAAGCTGCCATCTTGATATAGAAGCAYCAGTACTCCCCCCAAAAATAGCAAGTCAAATATATTTACAGCAATATAAACAGAAGTTTTCTTGATTATGGACAAATAGGACAATCATTTAGTATATCTCAGTTTTTGATAGTTTCAGAACTCCATATTGAGATAGAACACACAGATCAGATGCAAGGCCCATGCTAGCTACATAAATGCGTATTTGAATTTGCTCTAACATTTCTACTTGGAGAGCATCCTTTCTCACTCAGTTACATTTTTTACAGCTTGGACAAGGCTACTAATGTTGTAAAACAATGCTTTTTAAGGCTAGTTAAGAGTAGGAGTTCCCAAACTTAAGATCAGTACACTTTTGACTGTGTAAAAAGTAAGGTTCTAACAGCAATCCTGCTGACCCTGCTAGTCCCGCTGGGCTAAACATTGTTGAGGTTTAATTGTGCTTGGGGGTTAATTGTGCTTGGAAATCTACAGCAGATAGGAAGAGAAACATCTGCATTTTTACCAAATTATCCTGAGAGTCACCATATGCAAGAATATTAACATATATATTAATGTTACTGTATATATTCTTTTTTCTTCTAGCTGATCACTACATTATAAAAACCAGTGAAAATCTTATGGACCTAAGAGATAACTTCGATAGGGCTACTGAAGTGAATACCTCTGATCTTGTACCTAAGTCTGCTGGTACTGCAGAAATATTTACAATTAAACCCAAACAYCTAACGATAGAAAATGGCACTATAATCTACATTGCTATGCGCGCTGCTACTAACACAAATCTGACGTCCGATGTATCTAACATAGCACAAGCCACATGGTTCGTTCCACCAAAAGCATCTGTGCCTTCAGATGATGAAGACAATAAAGGCGGAGTTAATATTACAGCAATAGTGGCAATAGTTGCTGGGTGCGTTGTCGTTGTTTGTATTATTGTAAGTTCAACTGTATGTGTTTTACAGAAAAAAAATAGAAGAAAGGATCCTGCAATCAGAATGTAAATTCATCTATAGAACAAAAGCTGAGGTTTAGTGTAATTTTTACAAGTTTCAAAATAGGTAAAAATATATTTGTATGTTTGAAGATTAAGTGACCTGATTTTGAACAGATTTGTATGTGTTTTTTGATATGCATGAAGATGACTGATATGATGAAGATTTTTAAGTGTGTCTTCTATGTATACTGATTAAATGTTAAACATGAAAACAGGCATGCAGAAAGTGTAATGTGTACTATTATTCCTATGCAATCTGAAGAACTCACTTGTGAGATTTTATCAATATAGTATATATTTTCTTTTTTTTTTTTAAAAAAAATGTTTCCTTATTATTATTCTCTACATAACAATCAAGCTAAAACAACATGGAAAAAATTATCACAGAGATCTTTCGAGCAGTGCATCATGATTTTCTATGCATCTTTCACGTGTTTATTAAAAAGAAAAACTCAGGGATGTGGAGCTACATGTGTAGAACAGTACAAAACTTAATACTTGCAGAATGAGGGCTACAYGTATGAGCACATGGGGAATTTTCCAAGGTGGACATTAAAAACAGCTACAGATCAGAAGCCAGGATGAGCCTTTATATAACTAAAAAGCTGCTAAAGAAGAGAGTGAAGGAAAGAAGGAGAAGGATCTGTATGACTATCTTTCTGTCACTACTGCATATATAGTAGATATTAGAAACTGCTGCATTTGACCAGAATAAGTAGATTGCAGCACTGTTCCCAGGACTATTTTCTTGCATTATATAATCATATGGTAGTCCGTAATTACCTATACAGTTCCCAAGCCCCAAGGCAAACGCTGCACGGCTCTGAGGCAGCCCGTGCCCCGCGAGCCGCGCCGCAACGCGCTGACACTGACACCTAGCGGGCTGCCTGCAAAACCTCCTCCAAAAAGCGCTTCCTGACAAATCCGTGCGGGATATCCTGACTTTACCATATGGCATAAGGGAAAAATCAAATATGATTAAACAAAAGTTTAATCAACCTACAGTTGACTCCTATTACTACAGGTGCATTTAGAGGATTCATTTGAAGTCTTTACTAAGCGCTGTCTATAYTCCTAATAATAGATCTTAAGAATTCAGTTCAAACAATGCAGGATTCAACTCCGTCCAGAAGATCTATGCCAAAGGCAGACATAATTTTCTCAGTCGTGCTTCCTGGCAAGAACAGGCAAGACTATTTTAATGATTTCACTGATTATATTTGCATCAGCAGATACATATTTCAATGCTGTGTGGCTAAATCCTGGCTACTGATACAACTGTCCTATGTCAGTTCAGACTAGCTAGAAGCTAGTCGGAACTAACTAGTCTAAACTAGTTAAAGTCAACACTATACAAATTTTGTTCCTATGTATGGTCTTCCCAATGCTCTTCTTAAAATGACTGTATCTTGCAGCTTCCTTCACAGAGCTTTTCCAGAAGTAGATCTCACAGTCTTCTAAAAAGATCAGTTTAAATATTCCTCTGTCACAGAGGAAATGTGGTGTCATGTGATAACTGTTTTGCCCTACAGCCATCAACAGGTAACATGTAGAGCTCCTAATATAGCTCTGGTCATTGCACAGTAAAAGGGCGAAAACTAAAACTTTTATATTTCCATAGGGGCCAGTTCTGGCCTGCAGAATTCTCCATATGATCTTCCTTTGAGTATAGTTTTTTCCAAGACAGAGCGATAGGACGGGACCAAACTTATATGCCACTTGGATACCAAAATATTCTACTGTATTTCCAGCAAGTATTAAACTGTAGGAACAAAGGGTATTACAAAAACATCACATGAATTACCCACTCCAGCTCTCTGAAAATTCAGGACCYTTGTCTACTGAGTGTTTTGCCTATTGAATGTTTTGTCCATTCCTCTATACAGTTCTAGCACAAATCCAGCTGAAGGGAGTACAGCAGGAAAAAGGAATGATCTGCAGTCCTATATAAAGGACTACAGTTACAACAATTCTAATCATTAGCACTTTCTGTCTCCTAGTTCAGGGAATCTTAACCAGAAACCTTCAAAACCTCACTCAGTTATTATCATATAACAGCTAACAAGTTAACTTGTTAAACTTGTTAAAACTTGTTAACTTGTTTAACTTGTTAAAAGTTCATTCCATCTCAAGGACACATGTTTATACACCATGTTTCCTGTTATAATGTTATAACATGAAATGTTGTAACATTTTGTTACGTGCAGTGCTGAAGATAAGGCAAAAGGAAAAAATGCAGTGTGATCTTGAAAACATATCTACCTCACTCATGGATCAGCTCACTTTTTGTTTCCCTCCCCGCCTAAGAAATGAGAGAACACAGCACACTTAAACTTCATTTTCAGTCTGAAGCAGTTATGTAGATGTACGTAAATTATTAAAATTGTAGGGGAATTTCATCTTTTAGCTTGATGAGCAGCGCTACCCTAAAGCAAGTAAGAGCTACACTACATCAACTATCTTTAAAGACCACTGCTGGGGTATTTTGAGAGCACCTTACTACATGTGAGTGTAATACATGTGAGTGACTACACATGTATTTACCTAAAGGAATTATTTGAAGAAACAATCTTCTTTTTTTTTTTTTTCCTCCCTCTGGGTGTCCTCTGACAAAGTCTTCCCCGATTTACCTAACACGCCTAACATGGTGAAATAAAATAAAATAAAATAAAATAAAATAAAATAAAATAAAATAAAATAAAATAAAATAAAATAAAATAAAATAAAATAAAATAAAATAAAATA